AATGTGATTAAACAAAAATTATTGCTTTATCAACTTTAAGACAATTAGGTTTAATATTGAGAATTTTAAGTTTAGGGAGAATTGTTTTAAGTTATTTTCATTTAATTATTCATGCTTTRTTTAAATCTTTATTATTTTTATGTAGAGGAATTTTAATTTATCAAATAATAAAAAATCAAGATATTCGTTTTATAGGTAATTTAATTAATAATAATCCTTTTGTAGGATTAATTTTTTTTATATTAACTTTATCTTTATGTGGGTTTCCTTTTTTTTCCGGGTATTATTCTAAGGATTTAATTATAGAAGTTTTTTTAATAATTAAAATAAATTATTTTAGAATAATAATATTGTATAGTAAAGTGATATTAATGTTATAAATATCTATGATTGAATAATTGCTACAGTTATTTCTAAAGTAAATAATATAATTTGTGTAAAATAAATTAAATAAATTAAATTTAAATTAATTAAAGCTCCACATGAACCAAGTAAACATAATAATAAGTGTCCAGCAATTATATTAGCTGAAAGTCGAATAGCTAAAGTTATAGGTCGAATAATTGTTCTGATTGTTTCAATGAGAACTATAAATATTATTAAAGGGATCGGTGTATTTAAAGGAACTAAATGAGCTAAACATTTAATAGTAAATATAAATCAATTATAAATTATAATTCTTAATCATAATCTTAGATATAAAGATAATGTAATTGATAAATGACTAGATGGTGTAAAAATATAATATAAGGAAATATACCTAAATTATCATGGTGATCGATGATAAAGATATCTGAGAATAGGTTTTTAGGTTTCACCAAAAATGGATAATTTACTAATTGCATGTTTACAATGGGGTATTGTTTTTTTTAAACATCTGGAGATTTTCAATATTTATTTATAGTTATWACATTCATTCGGGGAAGCACTGATTTAAAACTATTCACCGATTAGGCAAAAAATTGAACCTGTTATTTTAGACACACATAGCTAAATACCTAACTTTTAAAACATTACATTTTTTATAATAAATTAACTTTTTCAAAAAAACTTATCTAAAGAAAATCTTAATTTTGAAAACTTTTTTTTTATAAGTCTGCTATTTTTATTTTTTTTA